ACACCTTGATGGAATTAATTTTGAGAACTGTCGAAGAAGCTCTTCTTCTACTTCAGCATGTTGTTGTGAATCAGCGACCATAGTCAATGCAAGAGCTGATTTAAATTCGGAATAAATTTTATTCCAAATACTTGGTGGAGCAGGAAAAACCATCGGTCTTACCAAAGCCAACTCTTCCATCAGCCGAGATGGATTGCCTGTGAAGAATCCAGCACATCCTCCAAGAAGAAACGTTCCAATCAAGTTATTTCGTCCACCATACCATGCAAGTGGTTGATAGGAGAACGTCACTTGTTCGCCAGTCGATGGTGAAAGTTCCTCTGAAAAAAGACTTCTCAAAGCACTGTCAGAAATCATGACTCCTTTCGGGAAGCCGGAGCTACCACTTGTATAAATGATGGTGAGAATATCATTCGGCTCGATAGGGACATAATTGTATCGTTTACAAGAGCCCATTTTTTCGATATCACCAATGTAGTGAATCGAAAGACCATCTTTTTTCTTCGGTACTTCACTGTATTTATCAAAATTCAAGAACGACTGATAAGAACCGGTGGAACATTGATTCGACAATTCATTACTGTTCGTGTCTACAACAAAATAAATTGATACAATCAATGTGATTTTCATAGATCAAAATGAACGAAGAAAGGATGATTTTTCATTGAATATCAGTAATATTCTAGAACTAGCAAGATTCATGATAAATTGAAGAATCTGGCCAAGAAAACTTTTTAGATGACCCTTAAAAGAGCTCATGAAATTTGAATGGTATCTATTCCTACCTGTAGTCGTATGAAGAATTGGTTCCATGCAAACGAGATAACGGAGTGATGGACACTCTGAGCGTAGTCGAATAAATTTCGGTAGCATCTCTTTGTCACAAACGATCAAGGATATATTCGTGTTATTAACGATAAAAGCAGTATCACGATCATTCAAAAGACAATATATCGGTACACCAATAAAATTTTGTAACATGCATGCAAAGTCTGATATAACCCATTCGGGTCGACTCGATGCGCAAATACCAACATAATCACGTGGTTCGATCAAACGTCGTAGTCCATGGCCAAAATTTATCGACCGATCTCCCACTGTCTTGTAAGTTTGCCATGAGTAGGTATTGGCATAGTGTTCGGGATTATCTTTATCGAAGTCTCGTACTCCCAGACATTGACGATCACAATAGATCTCTATCGCTGCTTCAATTGCAGATGCCATAGTTCTCCCATTGGAAGTTGTATTTTCTCCATCACCAAAAGCCAACTCGAGAACTAAAGAGTGAGGATGTGGTGGGCACATCGTCGCTGTACATTCCTTACATTGGTCATAATCGGGACACACGATACAGTTGTAACGAAACGTCCCATGATCGAAATTACGCTTGCATACATCACAATACCAAAAACTTGGTTTCGTATGAGAAGGATTCATCTCGATATTCATCTTAAAAGTAAGTTGTTACGCTTGTAATAAGAGTTGATTTCGTTACTATGAATAAAATTTTTTATAGAATTAGTAACATGTATGTACGCAAAAAGTGGATGATTTAACAACTGCAGAGAAAAACAAAAGTGTATCGTTGCTTTACTTGTGATAGGTCAGTGAAGATGGAAGATGACGTAAGTGTAGATGTCTCGATGTAATACAAAGCAAAATTGCCGAGTGACAGACGTACTTCCGAAATTTATACTAATTATACGAGATTTCTATCATGTGAAACTATACACAAATATTATCTAGTACGTTTGGTAGCCGTTGAAGTAATGCATTCAGTTGATAGGAGTATCTAGAAATGTGATGTATATAACACATCCAACTCGGTAGTTGTGAAATTTAGTATGTTGCAAAATAAAAGGCGAGAGAATCATTCTGACGACTGTCGACATTTTTCTGTTCTGTGTATTTGACTTTTTTTCGTAAAACAACATGACTCAAATGGTTGATTCATGACAAAGACCAGAACAAAAAAGTAAATGTAAATGATGACCCTAAAACTTATTGTAATAAAAAAAATCGAAGTTGACGATTCATTTGATAATAAAAGAAGGGTCTTATTAATGTAATTCCTATTAGGTACTTAAACATTACTTGTTTTAAATTAAAGGTAAAAGAACAAATCCCTAGTCGAACATCTTGTAAGCAAGATCTTCATAAGATCTTGAAAAGATAATTTGTATGTGAATATCTTGGTTGTATCGGATAAATCTGTACTTAAGATCTTGTCAAGATCATAGAAAAGACATCGTTTACTATTGTCTTCTCACAAGAACTTGAGTAAAAGAGCGACATCATTAGTGTTTACATGTTGACTAGTCATTCGCCGTTTTTTAATGCATACAGAGCCATACAGAAACAACGTGATTGAACATACAAAACATACATTTTCAATATAGTTTGTTTTTTAAAACTATTTCTCTAGTGTTGATCATTCGAGAACATGCTGATCTCGATCGATGATTGAGAGAGGACTACCTTGAAGCAGTCTGATGAAGATCGAACTATCTCAAGGTCAGGCAGATTCTAAGATCTGACTTGCTTCAGTTATTTGGGATAGGAATAATTAAAATTAAACTAAATTGAAAAAATGTCATAACATGGTTTTATAGAAAAAAAATAATGAATGCACTATTTGATAGGTTCGAACGACGCTTTCAAAAATGTATTATACATTGTGTCCCAAATCACGCCTCATGCAACACGTTTTATCTTAATATGTATCCAAGATCTTATGAATCCACACCTAAGATCTTATGAATCTTTACCCAAGATCTTCCATATCTGTACTCAAGATCTGATTCAAGATCTTGGTACAAGAGAATATGATTATCTTGTACCCAGCACCCGCGAAAGTGGGGAGGGGTGTAGGAGGGTGTACACCCCCACAATAATTGAAAATTATTTATTATTAGCCAGCAAAGTGGATGAATTTTTTTTAACTTTTAAAATATCTTCCCTGTTAGAGGTTTTTCAGACATCTCCCAAAAGGATTCTGAGTAGAGAGGGAGTTAGGGGATGACCTTTCCCGAATAATTGTAAACTATAGTTGTTATATCGGTGAAAAACATGAAGTTCTATGGCAAGTTGAAGAAATTAGATGGTTTTTTTTCCTCGAAACCCAGTGTAAAACGATGGTTTTTCTAGAAAATTCTGAGATGTTAAAATTTGTCTCTTCGCGAAGGAATAATCATATGAGCGTATTCAGCCTAAAAATGTCTATGATTTTTCTATTTTTATGACAATTTTACGGTTTTCTACCTTGTGAGCAGCTTTATTTTCAAGCAATCATCACTAGGTGGCCGTCTTTGGCGGCAAAATTGTTACGACTTATCGCAACACTCTTTCCTTTCGAAAAAAATAAGCAAAAGACGAGTTTTTCATAAGTCTGAAAAAAGTTTTCGCTTCGCAAAAAATAACAGTTGCGTAACCAAAGTTAACTTAGAAAAACTTCCAACTTTAGTCGATTTTCCCTTTGAAAGACCTAATCGAGAACAATCATCACCAGCGTGGCCGCCTTCGCCGGCCGAATTGTTGAAAAATTTTCTTACATTGGACATGAATTGTCTTCTTGAAAATTTGCCCGAGAAAGTCGAGTTTTTTAAGAAGGTTGCAAAAAGCTTTTGCTTTGCGAGAAATTGTTACATTTTAGGTTGCAAGAGAAACATTAATATCAGATCTAATGCGAAAAAAAATCAGATGCGTAGCCAGAAGTTTTCTAAGAGGAGGAACCAGGGTTCCAAGGGGGACCATCATAGTAAAAAAAAATTTTCGCTTCGCGAAAGTTGAACTCTGTACTCCATCAGGAAATTTTTCTTGGAAAGGGACCGATCCTCTTTCCCCTTGGCTACGCCACTGAAAAAATTTTTGCTTCGCTCAAGCTTAGCTGCCTCAGGACCCATTGCACCCCTTCCAATCCTGGGACCTTCGCGCGGGACCTGCATATAGTTATATGTAGGTGTGGGTGAATCAATGATACTATCTACACAACGCATCCATGCCCACACCTACATCCCCCTTTCTGCACTTTCTAGTAAATTTCTGTATTTCTGCTATGGATTAGTCTCTGTATTGTATAGGATTTTATAGTAATTTTGGAAATTGGCTGTTTGTGGAAATCTAAACATACCTCAAAATTTGACAAGATCTCATCTAGTTCTTCGAGATCGAAAATTTTAAACCTGATAAGTTCTATCCTATACATTTCTCAGATGACTTGTCTGAAAAACATATAAGATGCACTAGTCATCGAACATAAAAATGTGAAAATATAAATTTTGACACATTGTGAATCCAGGAAGTTCCTTCATATGTCGCAGTATATATTAGTGATACCCATATCTCATATGTTACATACGCTTTACTCAAGTTGTTTATCACAGATTATCAAGGAGTGTCTAGAAAGAGAAAAAAAACAAAATAGACAATGTCATATGAGCAGCGGTGGGTAGGAGTGTTCTGAAATCCAACATCAAGAAGCACTTGCTCGTTCATCCATGGTTATTCGATTTCAGCGACTTCACTGTTTCTTATAACAAGAAAACAATTTTATCCCTCTAGTCAATTTCTTCCGTGTAAATCTTGCCAATTTCACTTGAAATTGAATTAGAAATCATATAATACTCATAACTCTTAAACTTGTATCACAACTAAAGATCCGAGTTTCCTGCAAGTTCTCAACAGACATCAAATGTTCGCCAGAATGCGATCGAAATAGTTACTAATAGAAGACTACCAACACTTACGAGTGTATTTAGATAACGTGACACTGCGAAACTGAATAAAAGACATAAGTCAATATCACAACTTTCAAAAATGATTCATTGTTCGAAAAATAAAGATGAAGAAAGATTTTCTTGCACAGATTAAAGATATGCTTTATTGCTTTCTTTTCTTCCCCATCCCCTTCACATGTAGAAACATATCAATCTTGACAGAACACAAAAGAAAAAAGAACAATTTATTGTTTGACTGTATGAAGAAGTATGTTTTAGAGAATTCTATGAAGTCGATCTTCTACCAAAAAGACCTTTCTCCTTTAAATAATTCATGAATGCCATACGAATAACTCTAAAAAAAGTTGTAGGTTTCATTAATATTAATGGATTGCTCGATTGATTGACAACAAATAGGAAATCTGTAGCTAATTGTTCAGATTTCGATGCACATTGAAAAAACCAATAATTATACCATTGCATAAATCGTATTTTTAAAGGTGTTCGTGGTTCATCATTGTTAGTTATATCCGAATGATAACCTCTTTGATAAATTTTCACTTGACCATTTTTATTTGTTTCAATTACTTTTAATGTTGGTATTTTCCAATCATTTACAGTCGAAGCAAGCCAACATTCTTCAGTAATTTTTGAAGCACGACGATTAAAAATATGAGAAATATCTTTTAATTTATGACAATTTTCGCCAAAGATTTTTCCTAATTCTCTTGCCTGTCTACATGCATGTGTCATACCTTGTGCATATTGTGGATTAAATGTACACATAGCATCACCTATTAATACATAATTTTGAGGCCATTTTTTACCGAGTACTTCGACATACTTTCGATCATCAATTGCATGACGATTTGGAATTATTGGACTAGAAATTTTTATTGATTTTATAACCGTAAAATATTCTGGATCTAGATTTTCTTTTGTCCATTCTAATAAGTTTTCATATGAATCATTAGGTGGATATTCGGAATTAACACAGGTTATAGCACATGCTGTTAATATTCCTAATGAATTTTGATCAGTTGTATTGATTTGTCGCACTGGACTTAGAATAAAACTAGTATTTTTCTTCGGAGGATTAGCAATGACACCAATTACAGCCGCTGAATCGAATGTTAGATTACCGGTTCGAAATCTTTCACCAATAAATGTAACAGCACCACCACCAAAATGTATTTGTACAGTTGGTACAATTAAATTCAAACTCTCTTTTAACCATTTAGATGATGATGTATTGTGACCAGTACAATCAATAATAAAATCTCCATAGATATCAAATAATGATGATGAATCGATATTTTTCTTTGATCGATATTTTACACCTTTAACAATATTTGATGATTGATTAACAATTAATTTCATTACTCTACTATTACATTTCCATTCAATTTGATTATTGAATTTCAAACAGAATTCTTTTCTTAAAATTATTTCTAATGTAAAACGATCAATACCTAACCAATCAATATCTTTGGTTAAATATTGATTTAAGACTACACCATCAATTGCTACTTTGATCTCGTTTTTTGTTGAATAAGTACGAACACCATATTCATTGAATAATTTGTCTTTTATATTAGTAAATAATTCTTGTAATATTTTATAACCTTCAGCCTGAAGTCCATGTAATTGATATATTTGACTAACACCTGAACGTCCTAATGATGTTGGATTTTCAAGTCGACATCGATAATCTAATATTTCGCTAGGTGTAGATTTCATAAATATATCATTTAGTACATCATCTGATTCAATAATAGTTATTCGTTTAAAATATTTAGATAAATAAGCTGCAGTAACGATTCCTCCAATGCTCCCTCCAAGAATTATGGCATGATCATACTGAGTAGTGGTAGAAGGAGACTTCAATGAGTTTTTGTATCTCTTGTAGATTATATACGAAATAATTCCAATAATTATGGATATTACAAAATATATCATTTCACAATATTTAAATCAATAGATGATTAACGAAACTATTGATATTAACCAATAATAGAATTGCGATACTATATTACGTGTTTTGTAACGTGAATGATAGAATAAGTATATCTGAAACATAGATGCAATTTCGTCTGTACGAGCTTCAATAGAGTAAGCTTTTCAAAAAGACATTAAACAGTTGCTACATTTGGAAATTACTAATTGTCTTCTAGATAGTTCTTATTTCTTTCTTCTATTTAACATTACATGTTCAATCAAAATATTTTTGTCAAAAACAAATTTCTATTAAGACACAAGTGGCTAATATTTGACACCCATAAAGATCGAAATGTAATAATAATACATAGTAGTTTATCGTTCTAAAAGTTAAGCATGATAATGAATCGATATTGTCTAGCGTATGAAATTCTAATTCATTCAAATATTGTCTCCGATATAGTATGCGTTTCTCAGATTGTGAGGTTGACAGAATATCTATAAATCATATTTTTAATAATCGAGAAAGATATTTTTCACTTGACTATACCCATGCATAATAGTAACGTCTGTGAGATTTTGTTTTCTGAAAAATGTCTAAAAATATGATCATGCAACGAATACATGCGTACTGATTTATAAAAAATAAGTAAGTTACAATCATTTTTCGAGATCTATAAAAAAACTCAGTGATGTAGTATTTAATCTTGGTACTTCTCGAATATGATTCAGTTCCATGAGCTGACTCTTTCTCAAAGTAAGTTTTTGATATAGTCATCGGAAGAATATTCTTGTTTAGTCGATACTTGATATGAACATCGTCAACTGTTTGTTTGCTGATATTTCACATCATGTATAGTTTAGACTATAATTTTAACTTGATTTTTAGGCAAAAATTTGTATCATGAGCATCCACACTCTCATCAATACATGCTTATTGGATTCTACTAGCTATTCGTACTCATTTAACTATGCATTATGATAAGATTTGAAATTATCAATTTTTCATTCTTTTCGATGTCTAACAATGTAATCAAAGATGACGACAACAATATGTATTATACTTAATCTATTTTACTCACCTGTGAATCATTAGTGTGTATTTATTATTGCATTGTTATGTAAATGGCACGAGGGATCGTATAATGATTCGACTTCTTTTTATTACCCGATAAGAGAAAGAAATAGATATATGTTTAAACGAACAACTATATTCAAAATCAAGGGTTACACTCCGTATCATCGATACTAATACGCTGACTATCAATTCATGCTTGAAGGAATATTAAGAGAGAAATTAAAAAGGAAAAATAGAATATAATGAGAACCGTAAAGAGCAAAATACTGATGAGAAACAATGAAGATACAAATACAAAATAAAAGAGCAAACTGAAGTAACGCATTCCTTTTTTTTTCGTTCTTATCATATCCATTCGCCTGTGTACAGGACAACTGCTTGAAAAAAGATTCGTGTCAGTATATTGACTGTCGCATACGACGTAAATAAAAAAATGATGCAGGTTATAATATTTTCTTTCACATGTAAAGAATAGGCATGAGTAAAATCGTGGTTTTTGAATCACCGATCTTCAAACGAAAAATCAAAATCGATCAAACCAATTGAAATTTTTGTTAATAATAGACAAATACGAAATTCTTTTATAAGAGAAATAAGAGCAAATAGTCTTCTGAGCTTATAGTATGTCTTTCAATAAAAAATTGTCATTGTTGATAGGCGAAAAAGATGAGAAAGGATATCGTATACTTCTCAAAGACGCTGTCACAAACAGATTCAGACACCATTGAACCAGAGAGCTTGATAACGCTATTAACATCTCGAAAACGTAGATGTATAAAATATCAACACTAACAAGTTTGTAATAACACTTTGAGATCATTGTGGGTGTCCATAGAAATAGAGGAATCCACACCTACACCCTGTATAGTTGTTCGAACTCTCCAGTTCATCATAAGACCTAATGAATGAACGCACAAATGTTGTTTCAGATTATACTTACAGGGACAATATATTGGAGGTAATATGTTAACGAAATTTCAAATTCGTGCATATTCGAATCACTGATTGAAATGATCACACGATAACTACGACATAGAATAAAAATAATGTACTCAATCACGAGTAGTCATTTGAAGTTCAGATGCTAGAACAACAAATGTAAATGCATATAATTGTAATATTTCGCTTCTATCAACTTTATAAATCCAATGGTAAGTTTTAACATCTAGATTTGCGTTCATGTTTAAACATATTTGAAAGGAATATTATAGTGTATTGTAGACATGGAGCAGATTGTAATTAAACATAAAATTAAACGCGACTTTGTTATTAATACTTCTCCATCATTCACACTCATAACTATAACAAACAGCGTGTTGTCCGAAGAATCAATTTTACTCGTCTCCTTATTCTTTCTATTCATCATATGCATTGTTCTCTATATAATCAAATGTGCATATATTTAAAAAAAAAAAAAATAATTTTCTCCGAGACAAATTGTATCTTTTCAAAAACAAAAAACGACTGAATACGGTCATGAGATATTTTGATAATAAAGAATAATATGAAGAAAAGCTCTACTTGATAACATAAAGAACAATTCATTGATTGCCTCGATTGTGATAGCTTTTGAATTTCAAATAGTCTTAATGCACACTATGTCAGAAAAAATAATATTTCTTTTGCTTACATTTCTTCTAGAATATCAATAGTAGGAAAGACGAAAACATAGAGTACGAGTGAAGATAAGAATAAAATCCACATTCATAAAACTAATTGATAGTACAAGCAGATATATTCTTGAGTTCGATACTCTCTCATTCGTCTACTATAATATCAAAACGATTTTATACTGAACCAGGTAATATTTTTAATTTTACAAATTGTCATAATTGATATTATTTCCAAATATTACCATGTTCTTTTTAGTATTTTTGTCAAGGAAGAAACAACTGATTCTGTGGCATTTGAATCACATGAAATCATTCAGAATCAATGAAAGTACTTAGAATCAGTGCGAAACACTTGAAGTCATTTAAAATTACCTGGAGTCACTTGAATTCGATGTAAACTAGAGAATTCAGTTGATGGTGGTTGGCTTACTCTTATATAAACTGTTCTCAGTCAAGAGTTTCATCAGTAGGCAATAAGGGAGAAACTGTTAATTCGATAATTCTGAGTGATTGCAAAATGTTTTTGACCGTCAGAATCAGCTGTTCCCATTTGAGTCATTCCCTCAGGATATCACAAGAATCACTCTTTATTTTCGTTTGAGTGACACAGAATATAGCACCAGTCACTGATGACAACAAATATATTAAATACTAATGAAGCGAATAGTGCGGAGACCACAAAACGAAAAGTCTGCCATAAAGAGCATCATGGAAATAAATTTCTTTCACTGATTATATAAAGAAAAAAGTAGAAATTACAAGACGAAAATGATTGATTCCGGTGGCAAGAATCATTTTGAAATTATTGGAATCAACAGAACCACAGAATCATGGAATCAGTTGTTTTGCTCTTAGTTAAAATTCTGTCGTAATAGCCCAGTATTGGGATTAAAGACTCTTTTATGAGACTAATCCTGTGTTTTTCTCGTCATGATGTGAGAATGCACGACGGTATTACTCATCCTCTCTTTGTACAGAAGGTGATAACAACACACCATCGTTGCATTTAAGACGAAGGATGAAAATAAGTTGACAACAGACTTTCATATTTGTCTACCAGCACGTGTTTCGTTAAAGTAATAGAGCTAGTCGATATCACATCCTTTTTTTCTCTTCATATATTAATTACTGATAACCTTCTTGACGAGCATGACAAGAAAAAAAATCGTTCGCTATTGATACTTTCGTTTGTCGACCGATCAGCTCGATTTTTTTTTAGTAAAGCGAAAGAAAGTAGCTCTATGCATCAGTAATCACAACAATAAAGAAGAGATAAAAACGTGCGCTCGTCGCAATTTACATCAGTTATTTTACATTTGCTTATATTTACAGCCAGTGTATTTGCCTATTTTTTTCGATTACGACAGTGCTTAGATATTCTTTAAAGGTAAATACTACTACACTAATTGTGTTCAGCCTGCCCTATTAAGATAATTTCTTCTCATGCCAGAGTTTGACGTCTGATAGAAAAATAAAATGTCTTGTATTTATTTGAGCAATAAAAATACCAGAATGGACAGTAATTAAAATATGATTTAGCAAAAAATTTTGAGCAATAAACAAAACTTTATTTGACTACTTTTATATTATTAAATGTACAATAATTAATTCATTAAGTAGCAGTAGTAATTTCATATTTTAGCAATAAAACAAAGAAAAACTACATTATTCTATACGAATTAGAGAAATAAAAAACTATTTACAATTAAAAAAAAAGAAAAATGAAAAAATTGTATATTATTGTGCGAATAAAGCTTTTTTTGCTTTAGATAGTCTGCCTTCTTTTCTTTTCATATTTTATTTTGTAAACGAATTCATATTGCCCTTTGTTAACGGCTGATTGATCTAACACATCAATACTGAACTACTACTTTATTGTAGAAATGGTAATTATATATATGAATGAGCTAGGAAAAAATCGAGCATCCTAGAAAGAAAACATGACAAAGAAGGAAAATATACCTGAACAGCACCAAGAGAAGAGAAATATCCAAGTGAGAGAAAGGAAAGAAGAGAGAAAGAAAACAGAAGATATATGTATATATCGGAGTTGATTTTGAAATATTTTAAAGTCAACTCCAACATGAATGTGTCGTACTTGTCATCTGTAT